TCTGAGCTGTATCAGCTTCTATATAGGATTATTGATTAATATGGGAAAAAGGAATTCGTTTCTTCGTAATATTAGCTTGCGAGCTCAATGTATCGTTCATTAGCTTATAATCAGAACTTATATCACTCCTTCTTTATCTACTCATCTCCTTTTTACAAGAGATCTCAGACATAACTCAGAGTCCAGATATAATGCATAGCCTGTTGTATAAGCATAATAGATAAAGGAAATAAAAGAGCTCAGCAGGGAAAAAGAGTGCACTCATTCATAGAGTAAACTTGCTGCTCTTACTAATCCTCACAAACTGTAACGCAAACAGCTCTGAGCTACCAGCCTGAATAGCTAAGTCCATACTCACCGCATCATTGAATCAGAACTAGAGCGCCGTCGCCCTCGAAAGAAAAAAAAAAGGAACAAACAGCTGCCGAAGCAATGAGCAAGAGCTCGTACAACCCAAGCGTGCCTGTACAGATAAGAACAGCAAACTAAGGCCACACGGGCGCAAGAACAGGATGAAAAACCTGTCTTAGATCTGTCCAAAGGGTTCAAAATTGAAAAGAAGAGAAAGAATGCTTCCTTGTTTTTTATAGCTAAAGAATTTGAAAAGTGAGTAGTATCCTTTATATGTATGAGAACCCTTAACCCACTGTACTCCATGTCCCACGGACTACCACCCTGGCCACCACAATAATACAGATGATTATTAATGCGGATTGCTTGGTTTGAGAATATTGCAAAGTTTTCTAACTAATCTTGTTTAGAGATTTTATTCTTAATATTATTCTTAAATCCCTTGTAGTAGTATTTCATAAGATTCTTATCTTTCTATAAGAGTTGTACTAAGAGTTATTTGAATCTGATTATATAAGCAGAAGCTGATTTAGTCTGCTTTAGATTTATAAGTTGCTGAGCTATAATACATTCTTCATGTTATGACTCATTCAACATGCAGGTCACGGAAACAAGTCACGAGTAACAAGGACCAGGTGTCAAGAACCCAACGTTCTGACAAAGCATTGATTACATAACCCAGGGTTAGGATTGTAAAGGAGGGAGGATCGTTGGGCTTGCTAGCGATCCCAACGAGCTTCATACCTTGGATCGCTAGACTCGCCAGCGATCCCACCGAGCCGTACTGAAGAGCTGGATATATAAGGACACGTTCATTATCATTAGATGGATTCAGTACATAGCTCTTCAGTTATCAATCTAAGTATTCAGTTCCATACACTGAGTAGCCCCAAAGGCAGTGAATACTTGCATCGCTTATTAGGACTTGTACAGTTCCGTATTCAAGGATTTAATACTTTGATACCGCTCTTGTTAGCATAAACCCTTCGTATACTTAGGAATCTTCGGATTGCTGCAGTGCTCATTACATTTTGATAACTTCTGTTCAAGAACGGTTCAGTATTACCCCCTTGAGCAATACGGAATACGATGGCTTCTCCAGGGACCTCTTCGTTCTCGCGCGCTCCTATTCAGGAAGAACTGATTAACCAGGTATACCAGCTCATCCAGCGTATCCAGAATCTGCGCGAATAACAGCAGGCTCAGAGCGCTACCATCGCTAACCAACAGGCTCAGCTAGCTCAATAGGCTTAACAGGCGCAGTTCATCTCTACAGCTATCAATAGTGCTGAAAAGGCGTATAAGATGAACAAGCTTGCTATGTATGATGGCAATCAGAAAACGCTGTATGAATTCCTCACCCACTGCAGAGCGTATTTCTTGCATTATGCAACTCAGTTCATTATGGAATCTGAAAAGGTTATCCTTGCAGAAACTCGTTTCGAGAAAGATGCTCTCATCTAGTACAAACTCTCTCTATGCAACCACTTGGAGCATTAGATCGATTCCAATATATATACTCAGAGTACTAAGAATATATTCGATTCTTTTGAAAGCTTCGAAAAAGCTCTTAAAGAGATCTTTAGTAATTCTAATAAAGAATGTATTATAGCTTAGCAGCTTATGAATCTCAGATAAACTAAGTCAGCTTCTGCTTATATAGTTAGATTTAAGCAACTCTTAGCGCAACTTCTGTAAGAAGATAAGAATCTCATGGAGCATTATTACAAGGGACTTAAGAACAACGTTAAAGATGAAATCTCCAAACAGAATTGGCTAGAGAACTTTGCAATATTCTCTAATTAAGCTATCTATATTAATAACTGTTTATATGAATAATAAGTAGAGAAGTTCAAAAAGAGAGAAAGCTAGACTTGAAGGTTTTCAGCTAATATAAGCAAGAAACTTTAAAACAAGAATAGCGGTTGATATAGTAGCATAGCTTAAAGCGATACTATGCATGCTAGTTCCATGAAACTCAATACAGCTAACAAGCAGTATAGCAAGAAAAACAGCATTACTTGCTACAATTGTAATAAACAAGAACATATTGCATGCAACTGCTATCAATCCCGGAAAAACAAATAGCAACTAGTTCAGAAAGAATGCTAGATAAATATTGCTCAGCAATAGAAACTCAATCAACTGAGCAAAAACATCCCCTTAAAGCAAGTATTAAACTCTGTTGATTATGGAAGTTTCAGCTGGATATTCTGCTATAATAACAACTGCTTAATATATCTTTCGAGTAAAGAAGGTTCAGAATAGTTCCCTTAGAAATCTAAGCGCTATAAGCAGATAGCAACAGCAGGGCGAAGGTATACGCTTAGCACGACTACGAGCAGCAATAACTCGAACTGCTCCGATGTTACTAAACGAAGCATTCAAGCGCTGGAGGAAGGGCTTAATGATGATGCCCTTCGCTATTCCCTATCACCTGCACCGGACACTATAACTAGAGAAATGAACAAAGAATAATACCCTCTTGATTATTGATATAAATATCTAAACAATACCGAAAATGCTTCTCAAGCAACGAAAAGATTAAGCTAGAACAAGCAATCCAACGGTTCACTAGAGTCTCTCGTAAATAATGAACCTAAGAAATCTACAGAAAGATTTCTCTTTAGTATTGAATGGAATAAGGAAACAATATAGATTGAATATCTTGTTTATAGGATAGAACTAGAGAAGCTCTTCACCTGCATTCTCTTGCAGAATATCAAGGCACAAGAAGATAAGAACTCTCGAATCAGCTTACTTCACAATCTATATTACGAACTAGCTTGAATCTCCTGCACCTATCACAGCTGCAAAATGCATTTCTCGGAGAAGATGCAATATGAATAGTTTCCTATTAGAGAACTAGAACAAATCCTTCAAGCTGTTGAAGAATAGGAACTCCGCTTTAGAGAGATTCTTAACAAACAATATTATAATGCATATATCGGATTACTAGATAACTGTTTCATACAATGTATGAATAAGGAAATAAAATAATAGCAGTATAAAACGATACTCTGCATGATTCATATTAATAACAAGGTTTGCAACTAGCATTAACAGAAGAAAGATCAGGAATAATAACAATATGAGCAAAAGCAAGCTAAGAAGCTTGCTCAAGAAGCAGCAAAGCAGGCTTAGAAGAACAAACAGTTCTCAACAAACTCAAAAGAATAGGATTGCTTGTAAAGAAACTGCAGACAATCAGACTGAAACAATCCCTATATAAAGCTTCTAGAATAAATTACGCTTATATCAAGTTCGATATATACATTTAAGAATACAAATATAGCATACTATTGAACAGTAGCGCTCAGGGAAACTTTATATCCTCATATATTATCAATTAAGCATAACTACAATGAAAATAAAAGAGATGCTTATATACTCTCAATACTGTAGAAGAACAATCTATTGCATATAATCAAGGAGTAATCAATAAGGAAACTGATTATCTATCTATCTTGATCCAAGAATACATAATCAGAGCTTTCTTTGATATCACAGATACAGCACAGCATGAGCTAATTATAAGGCTTCCATGGCTCAAGGAGCACAATCCTCGAATCGATTGGACTACTGGCCAGATCTCATAGAAACAAGCTGTATTCAGAGGAATAGTTATAATCAACAGCGCAGGATCGAAGCTAGTGGTTGAAGAATACTCAGGAAAAGAAGCTTTATACAACTTCATACATATTTCTAAGTTAGCAGGGCTAGCAGTTCAAGGAGAAGAACCTAGTGATAAGCGAACCCAAACAGTGCTAGGGCGCTAACAGGTTAGCAAAACAACAGAAGCAAGGCCCTCAGCAAGTCGATCCGCTCCGGAGCGATAAGGAAAAGCTTCAGAAAGTGGATTATGAACCCATACGGGAAAAACCTCGAAACCAGGCCCTCGAGCGCTCGATCCGGCCCGGAGCGAACGCTCAAGGCTCTCAAAAACGTCACCAAAAATAACAAACGAAAAGAAGCACGCTCAACAGTACCTACTGTTCCTTCAGATAGCAGAAACAGCACAAGAATCAGAACCAATACTCGCAAACATACTACGAGAATATTACAAGTTCAAGAAACTATTCCAGGAAGAATTGGATACAGGATTGCCAGAATACAGCTCATATAACTACGAGATCCTGCTACAAGAAGGGAAACAGCTCAAATTCTTTCCTATCTACGAACTAAACAAGGCTCAACTAGAAGCACTTCAGGAGTATCTTGATGAGAATCTTAAGAAAGAATACATACAATCATTGCAATCATCAGCAGAATATCTCATTCTATTTGTATCTAAGAAAAATAGCAAGCTTAAGCTATATATAAATTATAAGCAATTCAACAATATTATAATTAAGAACTGATATCTGTTATTACTCATCAAAGAACTATGAAATAGGTTGCAAGAAGTATAGTGATTTATAGTTCTGAATCTGAAAGAAGCTTATAATCTGATTAGAGTAAAGAAAGAAGAAGAATGGAAAACTGCTTTTAGAATATGCTATGAATACTACGAATATTTGATTATACTCTTCGATTTAACGAATGCTTCAGCTTTATTTCAAGAAATAATCAATCACGTTCTATGCAAGTATCTAAATCAGTTTATCATTGCTTATTTCAATAATATTCTTATCTATTCTTGAATACTTGAAGAATATAAGAAACATGTGAAAATAGTATTGCAAACGCTTCAAGATGCAAAACTCCTTGTGAAACTCGCAAAGAATCACTTTTATATACAAAAGGTTAACTATCTCGAATTCATGATCAAGCTAGAATGCATTAAGCTATAGAAAAACAAGATAGAAGCTATTAGGAATTAGCTAGTTTTCAGAAACATTAGGAATATTAGATTTTTTCTCGGATATATTAATTTCTATAGACAGTTTATTAAGAACTATAGCCGAATTGCACACTCTCTTACAAATCTTATCAAAAAAGAACAGCCTTTCGAATGAATCTTCAAAGCATAAGAAGCCTTCAATAAGATCATTAGACATATTATCTCAGAACCAGTTCTATATAAAGCAGATCTCTACAAACTCTTTGAAATTGAAACTAATGCATTGGAATATGCATTCGGAGAATAACTTAGCTAGCAAAACAATTAAGAGCATTTAAGAATTATAAGCAACTTCTCAAAGAAGTTGAATAGCTCGGAAATCAACTACAGAATCCCTAATCAGAAACTTATAGCAATAGTGAAAGCTTTCAAGAAATAGCAATACTACCTCATTAGCATATAATACTCGATTATAGTTTATTCAGATTACAAGAATCTAACTATATTCATAATAACTAAGATTTTGAATAAGCAATAAATCAGATGAGCAGAATTCCTCTTATAGTTCAACTTCAAGATTGTATACTGCAAAAGCTCAGAGAATAGATGAGCAAACGCTTTTAGCAGAAGATCAAACTATTGAAATACAGACTCTTCGAATATATAGAACATCTTCACTCAAGATGAATCAGGAAATCTCATCAACGTATATAGAGAACTGAATGCTACCCTCAGAATTGAATCCTCGGAGAGAGATCCAGAATCAATAACTTCGAACGAATAAGATAACTACATCAAGAATATATACAGTATACTAGCATACAGGTATTAGAGAGTTAGAGCAATCTATAAATGCATCAAAAGATACTGAAACTTACTAAGCTTTAAGAAAAGAATTGAAAGCATTTTATAATAATGTAATAGCTGCAAGAAGAATAAAGCAGAAAGATATAAGCTTTACAAACTACTGCATTCCTTGCTAGTATTTACAACTATTTAATGATCTATCAATCTAGATTTCATTACTAAGCTATCTCTCTTATAAGAACTCTTAACTAAAGTGCAATATAATAGCATTCTAGTAATAGTTTGCAAACTGAGCAAGTATGCTTACTTTCTTCTTTATAAGAAAAGCAGTATAGCAGAGGAACTCGCATATACATTTCTCAGAACAATTATCGCTAATTATAGCATGCTAGAAGAAGTAATCTCTAATAGAGATAGGAAGTTCAACTTAAAATTTTAAACTTTACTTATAAAACAGCTCGGAATATATCACAGAATATTTATAGCATTTCATTCGCAGATAAATAAACAAATAGAAAGAATAAATCAGATTATCAAATAATATCTTCAATACTATATCAACCAAGAATAGAATAACTGAATTAATCTATTGCTTCTTATACAGTTCGCTTATAATAGCGTAAATATAAGCATAATAAAGAAATCATTATTCTTCATACTCTATGAATATAATCCAATAGCTTATTATAAAGCACTGCTAGAAGCAGATGCAGAAGCTGCAGATAAAAGGATTAAGAAGATTAAGAAAGTTTAGAAGAAACTCCAATCAGAATTACAATTCATTCAAGAACGAATAATGCAGTATGCAAACTCCAAAAGAATTGAGAAACCAATCCTACAAAAGAAAGATAAGATCTATCTACTTCGAAAAAACATTAAAATAATAAAATCTAGCAATAAACTCGATTATAAGAAGTTAGGATTATTCAAAATCTTATAATAGATCTTCTCAATCAACTACGAATTAGCATTACCTCATGGAATGAGGATATACTTGGTTTTCTACATCTTACTGCTGGAATCAGTAGCATAGGAAATACTAACAGATAATATAGCAGAAGTGGAAAATAATGAATCAGAGTATGAGGTAGAAAAGATTCTTAAGTATAGAAGCATAGATAATACAAGGGAATATCTCGTCAAATGGAAAGATTACTCAGCAAGCGAAAATTCTTAGGAATTGCAGAAAAATGTTAAAAATGCTCAAGAAAAGATAGCTGAATATTGAAAAAGGAAAACCAGCATCTAAGATGATCGCTCCGCCCCGAACCGAGATTCAGAGCTTTCAGAGATCTTATTCTCCAGAAAACTCAACTAGTCAACTACAGAATTCCTCAGATCTACAGAATTCCAGTTAAAACTCTTAAAAGAAGAATCTCCAGCTACAACAGCAGATTTCTTAGCTATCACAGCCTGCACTTCGGTAGCAATACGCACCCTCTCAGCTTTAGCCTTCTCAGCCTCCTCTTTCTCAAGCTCTTCGAGATTCTTGAAACCTCGATGAATAGCTCGAAACATCCTCTTATATCACATTTTCTTTTGTTAATGCAGTCAAAGCAACTTCAATTCCAACTCTTCTATCTCATCCTCCAGCTTTCAATGCTGAGTAGAGGTAAGAAGGAGTTCAGCAGCATTCGTTAGCTTCAGAACATCGCACTTAGCGCAATTCTGGGAAACGCATTCCGAGCAACGGAATGAATCGTAAGAAGAAACAATATACAATTGCAGGCCTCGACTATTGCAATAAGAACAGGGATGTATATCGAAACCGTTTGAAAGAATAAACTGAAGAAGGAGATCTTTCTGCTTCTTTTTATCGGAGCGAGGATTCGAGGATTTCGGTTTCGCAACTTTGTTGATTCTGTTCAGCATCTCGATTAGGAAGGCAAGATTATGAATACAGAGACTTGCTAGGATACTTACAGAAGATCGTTGGGAATAACGATTAATAGAAGGAAGATGATATTATAATCCATCCAACATGCAGATTACGGAAACAAGTTACGAGTAATAAGGATCAGGTATTAAGAATCCAACGTTCTGACAAAGTATTGATTACATAATCCAGAATTAGGATTGTAAAGAAGGGAGGATTGTTGGGCTCGCTAGCGATTCCAACGAGCTTCATACCTTGGATCGCTAGACTCGCCAGCGATCCCACCGAGCCGTACTGAAGAGCTGGATATATAAGAACACGTTCATTACCATTAGATGGATTCAGTACATAGCTCTTCAGTTATCAATCTAAGTATTCAGTTCCATACACTGAGTAGCTCCAAAGGCAGTGAACACTTGCATCGCTTATTAGGACTTGTACGGTTCCGTATTCAAGGACTTGACACTTTGATACCGCTCTTGTTAGCATAAACCCTTCGTGTACTTAGGAATCTTCGGATTGCTGCAGTGCTCATTACACTTCATTAGAATTATCAAAGATTTCCTTAAAAGCTTTCTCAAAGCTTACAAAGAAATCGAATATATTCTTAATATCCTGAGTATGCATATTGGAGTTATTCTGATGCTCTAAGTAATTATATAAAGAAGATTTATACTAGATAAGAGCATTCTTTTCAAAACGAGTTTCTGCAAAAATAATCTTTTCAGATTTCATAATAAACTGAGTTGTATAATACAAAAAGTATGCTCTACAATAAATAAGAAACTCATATAATATCTTCTAATTACTATTATATATAACAAGCTTATTCATCTTATATACTTTCCCAGCATTACTAATAACTATAGAGATAAACTATGCTTGCTAAGCTTATTAAGCTAGCTGAGCTTACTAATTAGCAATAGTAGCACTCTAAGCCTGCTGCTAGTTGCACAGATTCTGAATATGCTAAGTAAGCTAATATATCTGATTAACCAGTTCTTCCTGAGTAGGGGCGTATGAGAACGAAGAGGATTCTTGAAAAGCTATCGTATTCCGTATTGCTCAAAGGATAATACTGAATGTTATAACTCATTCAACATGCAGGTCACGGAACAGGTCACGAGTGACAAGGATCAGGTGTTAAGGACTCAACGTCCTGACAAAGCATTGATTATATAATCCAGGGTTAGGGTTATGAGCACGGCTAATCAGGAAGGATAGCTTCAGGTATATGCTATCCAGAGCTAGCAGGATAACTTGGATATGTTGCTATCCAACATATTCATACTGAAGAGCTGGATATATAAGAACACATTCATTACCATTAGATAGATTCAATATATAGCTCTTCAGTTATCAATCTAAGTATCAGATTATTCTCTACTCTGATAGCTCCAAAGGCAGTGAATACTTGCATTGCTTACTGAGACTTGTACGGTTCCGTATTCAAGAACTTGGCACTTTAACACCGCTCTTATTAGCATAAACCCCCTTTGTATACTTTGGAATCTTCGGATTGCTGTAATGCTCATTACATTTTAACAACTCTTGTTCAAGAACGGTTCAGTGTTACTCTCTTGAGCAATACAGAATATGATAGCTTCTCCAGGAATCCCTTCGTTCTTGTATATCCCTATTCAGGAAGAACTGGTTAATCAGATATATTAGCTTACTTAGCATATCCAGAATCTGTGCGAACAATAGCAGGCTTAGAGCGCTACTATCGCTAATTAGCAAGCTCAGCTAGCTCAATAAGCTCAGCAGGCGCAGTCTATCTCTGCAATCATCAGTAGCGCTGAAAGAGTATATAAAATGAACAAGCTCGCTATATATAACAGCAATCAAAAGATGCTGCATGGATTCCTCACTTACTGCAGAGCATATTTCCTGCATTATAAGACTTAGTTTACTAAGGAATCTGAGAAAGCTATTCTTGCAGAAACTCATTTTGAAAAGAATACTCTTATCTAATACAAGCCTTCTCTATGTAACCACTTGAAGCATCAGAATAACTCCGATGCATATACTTAGAGTACTAAGGATATATTCGATTTCTTTGAAAGCTTTGAAAAAGCTTTCAAAGAGATCTTTGATAATTCTAATGAAGAATGTACTACAGCTCAGCAGCTTATGAATCTCAAGCAGACCAAGTTAGCTTCTGCTTATATAATCAGATTCAAGCAACTCTCAGCGCAACTTCCGTAGAAAGATAAGAATCTTATGAAGCATTATTATAAAGAACTTAAGAATAATATTAAGAATAAAATCTTCAAACAGAATTAGCTAGAGAACTTTGCAATATTCTCTAATCAAGCAATCTGCATTAATAATTATTTGTATAAACAATAGATAGAGAAATCAAAGAAAGAAAAAAGCTAGATTTGGAGGTTTTCAGCTAATATAAGCAAGAAACTCCAAAATAAGAATAGCAGTTGATATAGCAGTACAGCTTAGAGCAGCACTATGTATGCTGGTTTCATGAAACTCGATGCAGCTAACAAGCAGTATAGCAAGAAGAACAGCATTACTTACTATAATTGCAATAAACAGAGATATATAGCATGCAATTGCTATCAATTCCGAAAGAATAAATAGCAATCAGTTCAGAAAGAATGCTAAATAAATATTGCTTAGCAATAGAAATTCAATTAACTAAGCAAAAATATTCTCTTGAAGCAAATATCGAACTCTATTAATTATGAAAGTCTCAGCTGAACATTCTGCTATAATAATAACTGCTTAATACATCTCTCGAGTAAGAAAGGCTTAGAATGGTTTCCTTAGAAACCTAGGCGCTGCAGACAAATAGCAATAGCAGAACGAGAATGCATGCTTAGCATTTCTATGAATAGCAACTCGAACTGCTCTGATATTGCGGAATAGAGCATTCAAGCGTTGAAAGAAGAGCTTAGCAACAATACCCTTCAACATTCTTTATTACTTATACTAAGCATTATAACTAGGAATATAAACAAAGGATGATACTCTCTTGATTATTAGTATGAATACTTAAACAATATCGAGAATGCTTCTCAAGCAATAGAAAGATTAAGCTAGAACAAGCAACCTAATAGTTTACCAGAATCTCTTATAAACAACGAACTCAAGAAGCTTACAGAAAGATTTTCCTTCGATATTGAATAAAATAAGGAAATAATATAAATTAAATATCTTATCTATAGAATAGGATTAGAGAAGCTCTTTACCTGCATTCTCTTGCAAAACATCGAAGCATAAGAAGATAAGAACTCTTGAATCAGCTTACTTTACAATCTATACTACGAATTAGCATGAATCTTCTGTATCTATTATAGCTGCAGAATGCATTTCTTGGAGAAGGTGCAATACGAATAGTTCTCTATTAGGGAATCAGAACAAATCTTTTAGGCTATTGGAGAATAGGAATTCCGCTTTAGGGAGGTTCTTAACAAGCAATACTATAATATATATATCGGGCTACTGAATAATTGCTTTATGCAATGCATAAATAAAAAGATAGAGTGATAGCAGTATAAGATGATATTCTGTATAATTCATATTAATGATAAAGTTTGTAACTAGTATTAATAGAAGAAAGATTAGAAATAATAATAATATGAGCAAAAGCAAGCTAAGAAGCTTGCTTAAGAAGCAGCAAAGCAAGCTTAGAAGAATAAGCAGTTCTCAATGATTTCAAAAGAATAGAATCGCTTGTAAAGAAACTGCAAATAATCAAACTGAAATAGTCTTTATATGAAGCTTCTAGAACAGATTATGCTTATATCAAGTTCAATATATACATTCAAGGATACAAATACAGCGTACTATTGAATAGTAATGCTTAGGGAAACTTCATATTCTCATATATTATTAATCAAGCATAACTACAATGGAAATGAAAGAGATGCTCATATATCCTCAGCACTATAAAAGAACAATCTGTTGCATACAACTAAGAAGTAATCAATAAGAAGACTAATTATCTATTTATCTTGATTCAAGAATGCATAATCAGAGCTTTCTTTGATATCATGAATACAGCACAGTATGAGCTGATTATAGAACTTCTATAGCTCAAGAAGCACAATCCTCAAATCGATTGAACTACTAGCTAGCTTTCATGAGAACAAGCTGTATCCAGAGAGATAGTTGCAATCAATAATGCAGGATCGAAGCTAGTTATTGAAGAATACTCGGGAAAAGAAGCTTCAGACAACTTCATATATACTTCCAAGTCAGCAGGGCTGGCAGTTCAAGGAGAAGAACCTAGTAACAAGCGAACCCAAACAGTGCCAGAGTGCTAACAGATTAGCAAAACAACAGAAGCGAAACCCTCAGCAAGTCAGTTCGCTTCAGAGCGACGAGAAAAAGCTTCAGAATATGAATTGTAAACTCATACAGGAAAAACCTCGAAACCAGGCCCTCGAGCGCTCGGTTCAGCCCGGAGCGAACGCTCAAAGCCCTCGAAAACGCTATCAGAAAAGAAGCACGCTCAACGGTATCTACTGTTCCTCCAGGTAGCAGAAACAGCACAGGAATCAGAACCAACACTTGCGAACATACTACGAGAATATCACAAGTTCAAGAAACTGTTTCAGAAAGAATTGAATACAGGATTGCTAGAATACAGCTTATACAACTATAAGATCCCGCTACAAGAAGGGAAATAGCTCAGATTCTTCCTTATCTACGGATTAGATAAAGCATAGCTAGAAACACTTAGGGAGTATCTTAATGAGAATCTTAAGAAAGAATATATATAATTATTGCAATTATTAGCAGAATACTTCATTCTGTTTATATTTAAGAAAAATAGCAAGCTTAGGCTATGTATTAATTATAAGCAATTTAATGATATTACGATTAAAAACTGATGTTTATTGCTACTTATTAAAGAATTATGAGATAGATTGCAAGAAGCATAATGGTTTATAATTCTAGATCTAAAAGAAGCTTATAATCTGATTAGAATAAAAAAAGAAGAAGAATGGAAAACTGCTTTCAGAATATGCTATGAATACTACGAATATTTAGTTATGCTCTTTAGTTTAATAAATACTCCAGCTTCATTCCAGGAAATAATCAATTATATTCTATACAAGCATCTGAATTAGTTTATTATTGCTTATCTTAATAATATTCTTATTTACTCTCGAATATTGGAAGAATATAAGAAATATGTAAAAACAGTATTGCAAACGCTTCAGAATGCGAAGCTTCTTGTAGAATCTGCAAAGAGCTATTCTTACGTACAAAAAGTCAACTACCTCGGATTCACAATCAAGCTGAGATGCATTAAGCTATAGAAAGATAAGATGAAAGCTGTTAGAAACTAGCTAATTCCCAGAAATATCAAGAATATTAAGTCTTTTCTCGAATACATTAACTTTTATAAACAGTTTATTAAGAACTATAGCTGAATTGCATACTCTCTTACAAATCTTACTAAAAAGAAGCAGCTCTTCAAATAGATTTCCAAGGCGCAAGAAGCTTTCGATGAAATCATCAGATATATCACTTCAGAGCCAATTCTATATAAAGCAAATCCTTATAAACTCTTTAAAGTTGAGACTAATGCATCGGAATATGCATTTGGAGAACAACTTGATCAGCAAGATAACCAAGAACATCTAAGAATTATAAGCAACTTTTCAAAGAAGTTGAATAGTTCGGAAATCAACTACAGAATTCCTAATCAGAAACTTATAGCAATAATAAAAGCTTTCAAGAAGTAGCAATACTATCTTATTAGCATATAATATCTGATTATAGTTTATTCGGATCATAAGAATCTAACTATATTCATAATAATCAAGATTTTGAATAAGCAATAAGTTAAATGAGCAGAATTCCTCTTACAATTCAATTTCAAGATTATATATTGCAAAAGCTTGGAGAATGGATGAGCAGATGCTTTCAGTAGAAGATTAGACTATCGAGATACAGATTCTTCGAATATATAGAATATCTTCGCTCAAGATAAATCAGAAAATCTCGTTAATATATATAGAGAATTGAACGCTGCTCTCAGAATAGAATCTTTGGAAAAGAATTCAGAATTAATAACTTTAGATAAACAAGATAATTACATTAGAGATGTATACAGTATACTAGCATATGAATACTAGAGAATCAGAGCAATCTACAAATATATTAGAAAATATTAGAGTTTATTAAGCTTTAGGAAAAGAATTGGAAACATTCTATAATAATGCAATAGCTATAAAAAGAATAAAGCAGAAAGATACAAGCTTTATAAACTACTGCATTTCTTATTAGTGAACCAGAACTAGGGCGCCGTCGCCCTCGAAAGAAAAAAAGGGACAAACAGCTACCGAAGCAATGGGCAAGGGCTCGTGCAACCCAAGCGTGCCTGTGCAGATGAGGACAGCAAACTAAGGCCACACGGGCACAAGAACAGGGTGAAAAACCTGTCTTAGACCTGTCCAAAGGGTTCAAAATTGAAAAGAAGAGAAGGGATGCTTTTTTTTTTTTTTTTTTTTTTTGCTTATAGCTAAAGAATTTGAAAAGTGGGTGGTATCCTTTATATGTATGAGGACCCTTGACCCACTGTACTCCATGTCCCACGGACTACCACCCTGGCCACCACCACAACATTAGTATTTACAACTGTTTAGCAATTTATTAGTTTAAACTTTATTATCAAGCTATTTCTCTTATGAGAACTCTTAACTAAAGTGCAATACAATAGCATTCTAATAATAGTTTGCAGACTGAGCAAGTACGCTTATTTTTTCTCTTATAAGAAGAGCAGTACAGCAGAAGAACTTGCATATACATTCCTTAGAATAATTATTATTAATTATAGTATATTAGAAGAAGTGATCTCTAATAGGAATAGGAAGTTCAATTCAAAGTTTTGAACTTCGCTTATAAAACAACTCGGAATATACTACAGAATATCTATAGCATTTTACTTACAAATAAATAAACAAATGGAAAGAATAAATTAAGTTATTAAATAGTATCTATAATACTATATTAACCAGGAACAGAATAACTGAGTTAATTTATTATCTCTTACATAATTTGCTTATAATAGTATAGATATGAATATAATAAAGAAATCGCTATTCTCTATACTCTATAAATATAATCTAATAGCTTATTATAAAGCATTGCTAGAAGCAGATGCAGAAGCTGCAGATAAAAGAGTTAAGAAGATTAAGAAAGTTCAGAAAGAATTTCAATCAGAATTACAATTC